CTCTCTCAAAAATAAATAAACATTAAAAAAAATAAAAAAAAAGATGTTTGTTTCATAATGGTTGAAACTAAAGTATGAACACAAGTAAACAGAACACGACTCTGTCCGTGTTCACGGGCTAAAGTCTCGGTCTTGTCGAAACTTAGCTCTAAAACAGCTCATTTCCCGAGTGACTTGATAGCTGCAGTTTGGACACTGATGTTACGACAGGCGGTACTGCTGTTTCAACCACCACCACCATCATCACCTCCACGATCCAGAAGCTTCCAATGCAAAGCTATGGCAGGTTAAAGGGGAACGCTAGAAGGGCGGAAAGAACATTACAGAAAAAAAGGAAAACAGAAAGGGCCAGAAACATACGAAGTAACACCCTCAGTCTGGGGCTTTTAACAATACGACATCGTAAAACTTTTGCAACCATAGCAAATTTGCCTAGGGTTTAAGGTCCATTGGGAGGAACACATAACAAAACAAAATCACAAAAGCTTTCCAGAGACCGCTTGGTTCCACCTTCCAGAAAACCAAAGCCCACGTGTCAATCCACATAGTTGTTCGGGGGACCCGTGGGTCACAGCCAAAGCCCAGTGCGCCACGGAGATCTAAGCCAGGCCAGTGCTGCCCATACTGCCGAATCTTCTCTCCAGGGGTTTCTGAGACATTTCTCATTCCAACTCTCACCTCGTCTATGTCTGGTAGGTACCAGCTGAGGCTAAGTCTGTCCCTGGGCCTCTGACTGAAGAGTACAAACAGACGAACAGACGTAGAATACACACACTTATCACCCCCAGAGCTAAGAATAAACGCAAGGCTCTCTCTTTTTCAACAGACGATTCATTCCAGTAACTCCAAGTACATAGCAGCAAGCCCAGTCATGGAAGAAAACCCAGCAGAGGAAAACTGAACTTTTCCTGAGACCCAAAGTAAATATTTCCTGTCTGGATTTGGTGCCACTTGACGTCTAACTCGTTTTCCCCGCGTTCTGCCTCTGCTCTGCTCCAGAACTGGGCTGGGGATCACCCATGATGTCTGAGTGTTACTCCTGGCTGGGCTCCAGGATTCTGAGTGGCCAAGGAGCAAGGTTTCAGTCGCGGGAGAGCTAAGGGGCACCGAGCCCTGAGTAAACCAGCATTCCCAGGGTGCGGGAAAAGGTGGGCTGCCCAACCCTGGGGCACAAGAAGGGCCCGAAGCAGGAGCACTGGGAGGGGGTGCTCTACATGTGCCCAACAACCCTCCCGGGACCTGCCCTTTCCCAAGATGTCCGGAGAGGTGGCAGCCAGCCCCAAATGCTGCTGCACACAGTCCCCCTCCTGGCCCAGAGTCCTCCGAGGAAGCATCTCTGCCCACACAGCCCTTCCCTTACCAGACTGCCGGCGCCCCTGCCGCACGTGGGTGGACACTTCGTCCTGGGAGGACCAAGCCTTCTTCAGGCGCTCCGGGCTGCAGCGGTACCGACTGGGATCTGCACACGAGATTCACAATCAGCCTTGGCCTAGACTCTGACTATACCTGACCACACCTCTGCTGCCCGCCCCAGCTCCAGGGGCCAGAAGCCTCCAGAGCTCCCTTCTCTTCCATCTTCCATCCAGGAATGTGAGGCACTAGGAGTCGCACCTGCCAACAGGACCATGCCCTTGACCTTGCAGCAGACCCCTAGCCTTTGACAAAAGGAGCTTCCCTTTCCCATCCTCCCTGCTCCCTGCAATATAAACAGTAGGCAGAGTTTCCCCAGGATGCAACGTGACCTAGAGATGTGCACAACTAGGGGCAAAGCAGGCAGAAAGGGCACACTTACAGTAGGAGTCCATTTCCAAGATGGCTTCCTTGGCCTGGAAGGAAAGGAAACACACCCTGTTCCCACCTCACTATGTGCCGTGCCTCCCTTGCTCCACCAGCTCGGCTCTTACTGCACCGGGACACCCGCAGTGCTATGCTGAGGTCGAGGGCATAGGCTGATCCCCACTGTCGAGTGGAGCCAACGTCCAGAGGGTGAGGCACTGGTGGGCCCCTGGCCCTGGCTGAGGATCACCTCTCCCTGCAGCCCATCAGGGGCTAGGTGGGGTACCCCCCCCGCCCTCACCTTCTGGGGGATAGTGGTGTGGTGGTTCTCCAGGATGAGCCTCTTGATGTGGTGAGTCCAGCTCCGTTTCTCCTCCACTGTCTTGGCCTGGAAGGACCCGAGGGAGAGGGAGCCAGGTGTTATTATCACAAGACGGAAGCCATCCGACGTAGGCCACGCTTGTCAGGGGGGCAGCGGCAGAAAGATGGCCCGTGCTGGGGCCTCTGTGAGGTTATCTTAACTCCCCAACACAAGCCTGAGAGATGTCCACAATGATCTCTACCTTCCAGAGAGAGACACTGAGGCTCAGTAGAGCCAAGCGAGCTGAGAAGGCAGGTCTGTCCCCAGCCGCCCAACCCTCACCTGGATGTTGTACTGCTGCTTGCTGTGCTTGTAGTGGGTGACGGTGAAGCACAGGGAGTCTCTGGTGCTTTCGATCAGCATCAGGGAGGAGCACTGGGGCAGAGAGAGAGTGCAGTCAAGCACAAGAAGGGGCATTGGGGGGTGGGGGTGACCTGGGGCCCCAGCCCCTCGAGACCATCTGGGGAGGCAGGAAGAGTAATCTCAGAAGGATAGAGCTGTATCCACACCAACCCGGAGCCCATGAAGAGGTCACGAAGTACAGCCTGGGGCCGTCTGGCTGACTCGGTCAGTAAAGCATGTGACTCTTGATCTTGGAGTTTTAGGTTCGAGTCCCACACTGGGTGGAGAGATTACTTCAAGATAAAATCTTTTTTTTTTAATTAATTTATTTTTATTTTAAGAGAGAGAGCAGAGGGAGGGAGAGAGAATCCCAAGCAGGCTCCACGCCCAGTGTGGAGCCTAACTCGGGGCTCCATCCCATGACCCCGGGATCATGACCTGAGTCAAAATCAAGAGTCCAACACTCAACTGACTGAGCCACCCAGGCGCCCCAAAAACAAAATCTTTAAAAAAAAAAAAAAGGGTCTGGAGATTGGCCCACTAAAATGGGGGAAGTGGAGAAGGAGTGGAGGGGCAGAGAACAGGACAGCAGCCTGGTTACCGGGATATGACTCTTGTAGACAAAGTGATCGCCTCGCTTCTTGGTGATGAGCAGAGCTTTGTCAAAGAGGAAGAAGGTCCTCTCGTTGCGCACGCGGTGCACGCGGAACGTGCCCTCCAGGACGAGCTCCCCATAGATGGTCAGGTCTGGTCCCTTCCAATTGATGAGCAGTGACTGAATCTCCTGCAGCAGAGAAGCAGGGAGCCCCAGAGTCAGGCTGCTCATGACACTCTGGGGACTGCGTGGAGTCCCAGAAAACTCCTGCAGACACAGCCACCACCTGCACCCGCCAGACACACGCTGCCACAAGGGCTCCCCACAGAGAAGCCCACCCCACAGGGAAACGAGCCCTCAGCTCACCGCAGCAGGCGCTCTCCCAAGCGCCACCGCATCTCGCCCCACCGCCCCTGCGAGTCCCTCCAGCCGCCAGCCCTGCAGCACCTGGAGCCGGACTGCATGCTCGTGCCTCCTCTTCATGTCATTGATGTACCAGGCCACGCAGGTCATGGTGTCAATGGCATCCTCCACCACCTCGAAGCCGTCTTCTTCTTCATCAAAATGTTTGGCGATTTCCTGTGCGGGAGACAGGCGCTCAGGCGGCCCAGACTCAGGCCCTGCCCCTCCCCTGGGCCCCCCATCCTCAGGAAGACCTCTGGGTTACCTGGAGCAGCAGGTGGTACTTGAGGATGCGCTGGACGGGCTTCAGCAAGTAGGAGCCCAAGGGCAGAGAGTGCTGTAGCAGCTCCTGCCGGTCCCGAAAGAACTTGGCCTGTTGCTTGTCCCGCATGCACTCGGTCAGGGCGGCCACTGAGCTGGGAGGGGAGGAGGCGGCCGTCACTGCCTGGGAAGGCCTAGATGGGGGCGTGTGGTGCTCCAGGCCCACCAAATAACTCTACCTCCCCTCTCCACCCCAATTACTCACTTGGGGTAGTTGTTGCAATACTGGGTGTAGATATCAAACTCTTGGCTCTAAGAAGAGACCGAACAAAGATAGCGATTTCTGGGAGGCTGCCAAACTTGGGAACACCAAAAACATGGCCCTGATCCCCAGAGTACACTCTGCCCCCCTTTCCCTGAACACCTGCAGATCCATCCTTGTGCCCATCTCCCTGGGACACCCCATCCACCTAGCAGCCCCTGGCTCCACCCCAGAATGCCCCTCCCACCTGAGGCACCCCAGAACGCCCCTCCTTCCCCTGGCAGAAGCCTCTGCTGGGCGTTCCTGTGCCTGAGTCCCCAGCAAGGTGGGACAAGAGGCAAGAACCCAGCCCTTCTTACCCTTTCCACAAAGCAGCTGGCCACAGCCACAGGGTCACTATTGCAGCCGTCCAGGTCTCTGAGTAGCTGGCTGGGGGAGGGGGGAGTGGTCGTCAGACCCCAGACAGCTCACAGCCTCCACACCTGCCAACAAGTCCCCTCCCCAACCTCCTGGTTCCCAGATACACAGCCAGCCCCGGTGACACGCCAAAGAGTCAGGGCTTCTCCCCCCTCAGAGTGAGCCCCATGCAGGCCAGCAACCACAGAGTATTCGGCACTGCCGCAAAGATGGGGAGCAAAGGAGCCCCACATGCTCAGCAAGCAAGAGAAAGGGGATGCGAGTACCCACCTTGGGAGGAGAGACAGCTCCTCTGCAAGCAGAAGGAGTCAAACACACACAGACTGAGATTAAAGGGGGAGGAAGAAGAGGGCTGGGATTCGCAAAGTAAGCAAAGGCCCCCGACACACACACCCCGGTGCAAAAGGATGCAGGAAAGGGAGAGGGGGGAGTCCCAGAGCCTGAACTTGGATTCAGGTTGGGATGCTATGGGAAACCCTAACCACAACGCTCCCCTGTCACCTCCTCCCATGCATCTGTCTTCCCAACCCCCACCAGCACCTGGCCCAAGTCACCCTGCCCTCCCGGCCTTCTGAAGCTTGCACTGCAGGAAGTCTCTCAGCCATCTCAGAGGGCCCTATATCCTATCAATGCTGTCCCCTTAAGCACACTCCCCCCGACCAGTGCCCTCGCCCTGGGGAATCTGTGGGCCCCGGCAGCACACGCCATATCCTCAAGGAGCCCCTTTGCCCTGAAGTAGCCTCCTGCCAGACCTCACTCAGCCTCCCCTTTCGCCTGATCTGTTCATTCACCTAAAGGGTCAGATCACCTCCAGGGAGCCCTGGTTTCCCATGGGGTCAGTAGGAAGGTGATGAAGAAGTTAAGGGATGTACAAGAAGGGGAGAAAGATGGAAGAGACAAAGGGCCACAAAGGGACAGAGAGAAGAGCATCACATGCCAGAGTCCAGCCATTCCCTGAGGGGGTGCTGGCCTGGCCCAGTCTGGCCCCAACATGCACATGACCTCAGATGGTCTCCCCCGCCTGACAGGAGGCACAGCAGCCCCAGGGCACATGACCCCACACCCCCTCTCTCCTACAGGGAGCTGACTGTAGCACCTTACAGGGGCAGAGCACCACTACCCACCCACCCTCAGTGATCAGGCCCCTGGCCCACACGTCACAGCCCAGGAGACTAGGCCCATCCAGGGCTCTTCTAGGCCCTAAGATGGGCCTCATAGGCAGAACGCAGTATGTGTTAGTCCCACTCCATACCTGTTCAGTGCATAGATGTTTTCTATGTTCCCAAAGAGGGCGCTGACTTGTTCTGGCTTCAGCAGCCCAGGCGTGTCAATGATCTTCAAGAGGTAGTCCTGCGTGGAGGGAGGCATCAGAGCCCATCCTCCACCCTGCCCCCGGTACAGTCCGTCCCCCCACTTCCTCCAGCCACACCCCATTTCTGTACAACCACAGTGTGACTTCACAGACATGGCCTACCGTACTGGGCTGCATAGTTCCCCACCCCCCAACTGATATCCATTCAGAACCTCAGGAGGTGACCTCACTTGGAAATAGAGTCTTTGCAGATGTAATGAGTCAAGGATCTCAGGACGATATCCTACTGGATTTAGGGTGGGCCCTAACTCCAATGACTGATGTCCTCACAAGAGGAAAGGACACAGAGAAGGCAGCGATAGGAAGGTGGAGGCAGAGGTCGGGATAATAGATCAACAGGCCGAGGAACGCAAAGGATAGGCAGCAACCACCTGGCAGAAGCCAGGAGAGAGGCATGCAACGCATTCTGCCTCCTAAATGAAGACGGACTAAGTGTCTGCGTTTTACTCACGCAGCTTGAGGTTATCTATTACAGCAGCCCCGGAAACAAATACACGGTTCCCTCTGCAGCGAGCAGAGGGCGTCCTCAGTGGCAGCCACACAACCACCTTCCTGCGTGCCCGCAGTGTGAAATGCTTCACCAACATGGCCCTACGAGGTGGGTGCGTCTTCACGTCCCAGGTGAGGAACCCGAGGCTCAGGAGGTTACGCAGGTGCCTGAGACCCCGTAGCCAGGCAACCACAGAGCAGGGATCTGGGCACAGGTAGGCAACATCCAGGCCAGTGTCCTCACTGTGATCAGTTTCCATAAGCACAGCAGTCCCCGCCCCTCCCCACCAACCGTGCCTGCCCCCTAATGGCCTGCAGGAGGTTCTGTGGGCCCAGGCTACTGATGTGACCCAAAGTCGTAAGGCAGTGGGAGCGGTCAGAGGCTCCCCCAGAGCAGGCCGCATGAGACCTCCCCACTACTCCATGGGAAGCAGGTCTTCTGAAACCAACTATCAGGGAGAAGTTTCCTTCCCGGGGTGGAAGCAGGTTTACAACAGAGCTGGGCCACCAGGAGCCAGAGGCTGGGCCCCCTCCCAACCTCAGCCCCTTGGGTGGCGGGCCTCACCTCCACGATGCTGCGCAGGTCCTGCACATACATCCGCTCCGTCTCCACGATCTCCCGCACCACTCGGCCCAGGTAGCTGAGCTTATGTGCCGGGGCCGCCGGGGCCCGGCTGCTGAACGGAGACAGGGGCCCCCTCACGCTCAGCCAGCCACTGGAGTTGGGGTTGCCGTTGGGGGGATGCCGGCCGCGCGGGGAGCCTGCCCCGTTCTCAGCAGAAGCCTCGGAGCCATTGGGATCCTCCATGGCACCGCGGCTGTCACGGGATGAACCCGATGAGGAGGTGGTGGAGGTCAGGCTCACCGGCCGCTCCTGGCTGCGCTCTTGGCGGAGAGAGGCAGAGACAGGCATCCTGGCATCGCTGCCTGGAGAGGGCACTCCGGAGAGATTCTGGGCGGGACAGACAAAGAATTGAACCTTGGAATCTTCACAGAAACAGAAGGGAAAAGGGTGGCTGCTGGGGGAGGAGGGAATGCGGAGTTAGTATTTAATGGGTACGGAGTTTCCATTCTGCGAGGTAATCAAGTCCGGGGGATGATGGTGGTGACAGATGAGCAACACTGGGAATGTACTTAATGCCACTGAAACACCACACACTTAAAAATGGTTACAATGGATGGGGCGCCTGGGTGGCGCAGTCGGTTAAGCGTCCGACTTCAGCCAGGTCACGATCTCGCGGTCCGTGAGTTCGAGCCCCGCATCAGGCTCTGGGCTGATGGCTCAGAGCCTGGAGCCTGTTTCACATTCTGTGTCTCCCTCTCTCTCTGCCCCTCCCCCGTTCATGCTCTGTCTCTCTCTGTCCCAAAAATAAATAAACGTTGAAAAAAAAAAAAAATGGTTACAATGGAAATGTTATGTCTGTGTATTTCACCACAATGTTAAAAACAACAGCTCTGAATGTGGAGGGGGTCCTTTCCCTCAGAATCTGCCAACAGGCACAAGGAGGCCCAGGTAACATGCCTTCCTGGCTCCAAGCTTTCCCAGGGTGAGGATGGGCAAACCACATCCAAGGACAATAAAGGGCTCAGAAACCCAATCCCCAGAAAAGCAGAGAGGACATCTCCACCATAGCAGCAGTGAGGGTGTCTTCGGATGGAATCCCAAGCCCGGCCCCACTGCCCTGGCAAAGCTCCCAGCCTCTCAGAACCTCAGCATCTCAGCACCTACCCAAGGGCTGTGTCCACGAGGATGCAGGGACCTGCTACACGTACAGGTCTCAGCGCGGTGCCTGGCACGAAGCACGGGCTCCATAACTCATCAGAACAGTGATGATAACAGCAATTGTCAAAAAGCACTTCCCAAGCGCCCACTTGTCGGGACCTATGCTGGGGTCACCAGCAAGGGCAGGTAAAGATCTTGCTCTTATAATCTAAGACAACACACACGCCAGAGAGTAAGAATCTCCTTGGGATTCCATCTCTGGGGCACCAGCGACTTCACCATGAATCTGAAACCTTCTGGATACTGACAGGGAAGGCAGAGGAGATAGTACGAAGGCTCCCCAACCCCCAGCACCTGGCACAGGCCCTGACTCACCCCAGCTCCCAGCGCCCAGGAAATGCCCCAAGGCTGAGCCACCGATGAGTCTCCCTAAATTCCCTTTAAGCACAGCTAAGTCAGGAAGGCCAGCCAGCAGGAAACTGCTCCCAGGTAAGGCAAATACAGCCCCGGGTGGACTTTATTCCTGAGCAGGTGGTACTGTTCACAGGTAGGCCAACCTGGACCAGTAAGTCTGGGAGGGGCTATGGCCTCTGGGAAGGAGGGGAACATTCCACTCCAACCCCAGAAGACTGCAGCTTGCCAGCACCCCTTCCCAGAACGTGTACTTCTGTTTCCACAGGAACAAAGTTCTAGAACATCACTCTCATTACCAATGACCCAAAGCCTTCACCCCTAGTTCTAGGGCTCAGAAATTACTAGACCACACCCTGGAGCTCTTCACAGCTATGAGAAGGATCTAGAAGGTGGCCTCACTCCGGTAACCTTGAATTTCCCCCTGCTTTTCTGTGCCTCTGCCCCAACCTGGAACAAGTAGCCCTGAGCTCTTGCTTTTGCAAATGTTCTGTTTGCCTGGACATTATTTCCTCTCCATCTGCCTCACGTCATACCACCCCCCAACCTGTGTCACTTATACCCAATCCTCAGGTTTCAGATTAGAAGCCAGCCCTCTTTCTAGAAACCTCCCCAGAATACAAACCTGGAGGCCCCCTTCTACCTACTCCTACAGCACCCCAGGATTACCCTGACACCCCCCCGTGTGACTGTGACTAGTGTGAGATCCCCTCCTCTAGACTGTAAGTGACCTAAGCTCAGGGGCCTTAAAGGTGATCTGGCAAATGGAAAATGATGAACAAACCAGTGCTTCTCCTGAGCTGAAAATCAAGAGCCCAGCAAGGACCCTCTCCAGCACAGCACTTTGCCACAGAAAGTCTCAGCTCGGGCAGGGGGAGGGGTGTCACCTCCTCTGCAATCTATAGGAAGGAGACTCTCATTGTGCAGGTAAGGACACAGTGGCAGCGCTGAGGCCATTCCAGCCTTCTCCCTCCCTTCCAGGCACAACAAGGGAGGATTAATTAACAAGCTCATCTGGGTGAAACTCTGAGCATCGCAGAGGAAAGCCCCTTGGGAAATGCAACATTGCTCCTTTTTCCTCCCTCCTCAAAAGAGCCTTTAAAATTAACCAACTAGGCCTTTCTACAGAACCAGCCCGCAGGGCAACGCTGTGTCATTTCAGCACAAAGAAAGACACAGATCCAAACTCCGCCCCAGTCCTTAACCCTCAGTCCTGTGGGACTCTGGTGTCCTTCAAAGCCTGCTGCACTGTCAGGCACCCACCCACCCCCCCCCTTCCCCACTCCCCGCAGTCAGTAGCAGCTGGAATAATGGGGCAGAAACTCACGGCCTAAGACCTTTCCCAGATCAAACCTGGGGTCAGTCGGCCCCTAAGGGGATGCTAAATGGCAAAGGCCCAAGTCCCTGATGGATTTCACAGCCAGCCAGGTCAGTTTTAAAGTAGATTAGCCACAGCCCCCCTCCCCCCACAACACACTCTCTCAGGGAGATTAATCTCTAAGGGGTGCCTTCTGAGGGTCACTCTTTAGAGACCCCATTGCCCTGTAAACACAGAAACGAAAGCATCTCTTCTCCTTGGAGAAATTTCCTCTGGTTGAAGGTAGTCATCTGCCTGCAAACCAAGCTCCCATTCTCAAAGTCATGCCCATGCCCAGGAGTCCCCCTGGGGCTGAGACAAAGCGTACCAACCAAGAGCTGAAGCGTTCTAAGTGCTACAGAAACAAGTCACTTCCATCTCCTAACAACTCTACAAGGTCAGCACCATTACTACCCCCATTTTACAGACACAGAAACTTGAGGCCACAAGGTAGCATGTGGTAGCTCCTGGCTTTGAATTCAGGCACACAGGCTCCAGTGTTTAAGCCCCCCTGCCCCAGCTGCTGCCTCCCTAATGGATTTTACACAAGCCAGGGCCACAATTAGTCACAGACCTGAATGCATTGGCTTTGCTTCACCATAAACCGTGGGTGGGGGGCTTATAAAGACTTGTTTAACCGCCATACTTCATTTATCCTAACAAAGGCCACGGAGGTAAAGGAATGAAAGTTAAAGATTCCTTCCGGCTATTTCTAGACCCGCTACTATGTGACCTCTGGCCCGTACCCTCCAGTTGGAACAATGTGGTAAAATACAGATTCCAAGTCAAAGGAGAGCAGGTCACGGAGAAGCGGAAAAGCTTGAGGTCACCAGGATCGGACTATAATTCCTCGCATGAGACCAGCTCCGCAGGGACCAGGAGCCCCAGGATCACAAGGCTGTCCAGGACAGGAAGCTTGCTGGAAAACAACTTAAAGACCCAAAAAGGGAGGATGACAAGCATGTGGGGCCGTGAGAGCAAACCAGGCAGAGTACAGGGGGGCTGTTAGTAGACTCTGAGTACACTCTGGTCCTAAAAGCCTGATCCCAACCAATACTGTGTGTGGTTCGGACTCCCAAAGAGACGGCAGAAGGACTGCCCACATGCCCCTGGGCAGAGGCAACCTCTCTTTCCTTCCTCTTCCCTGAGTATCGCCCCAAACTGTTAAGAGTCACCTCAAAGCCAAGATTAGACCCAGGTCTTCAAACTCATCTGGAAGACACAGTCTGCTGGGGAAGTGGGAGCCCAGAGAAGGAGGTGACAGAGAGCAGCCAAACCCCCAAGCCAGATGCCCACACCCACCGCCCCCTACCACGTCCAGTCTCCAGTTCCCCTAAGTGTCCCCCAGCCGTGACCTGTTCCATCCCTCAACATGAGTCAGTCTAATCATCAATCAATGAATCAGTCTTCTGGAAAACTCTGTCTCTCCAGTCCCACACCTGTGACGGTCCCCTAAGCCTTTCTTTTTGACGGACCCAAGAAGCGGCTCAGACATACATTTTGGGGAGGGGGGAGGCAGAGGCACGAGAGGAATGGAGATTCATTTTTCTTTTTTTTATTTTTAACGTTCTCTAAATTTAACAATCCGCACCCTTCCTCCACCCACACCTCTCCAGGTTATCAACTCCGCCTGTTGAGGACCTTCCCCAGGCAGAGAGGCAGGCTGCAGCAGGCCTCTAGGACTCCCAGCACAGCTGAACGGGGGTCAAGTCCCACACCTCCTCCTCCTCACCAGGCTTCAGCACCAGGCCCCCAACCGAACCCACACCCCTGCCTCCAACAGAAAAAATGACAAAACCCACAATTAGCCCCCATGTTCTGTCCTCAGGCCTCTGGTCACTGAGGCAAAAGTGACATCACCTTGCCAACCCCCCCCCCCCCCCCCCCCCCCCCCCCCCCC